AAAAAGGACCAACATCGAGATTTGAAGACAGTTTGTATGGAAAAACGGATGAGCAATGTACTGAAATATTCAAAAAGTTCATACATTTCTGTGAGTGCATTTTTTCCCCCGATGTCATTTGAGGAAAAAAATTGCTTTGATTTCTGTGACTTTCTAACACGTAAAGGAGGCGCCTGCAGTCCTTGAGTGCAAACTGAATCAAATGAATGGAAACAACATCATCTTTGCTAAACCTGTCTGAGATGCCAAGGAGGTAATTAAGTGCAATTAGAAATGCTTTAGAAACATGTTTAATGACAATAAGTTGTTTTGTTTTATAGTTATTTTACCCACCGTATTTCATTTGGTGTTCTGTGACTTTGGGTGACTTTATATGTTCTCTGTAATGTATTCTTAATATATACAAAATAAAGGTGAGCTTCCTCAATTTCTTTGGGTAAGCTTATACTCATAAAGCTCTAAACAGATTTACCAAATGTGCCAATAAATTAGGGAAGCACTAAAAGCCTGAGCATCGCATGGCCTGCGTGAAATTGGTTTGACCCTGTATATTGTGTGTCAGAACAACGGAGCATTCACAAAAACACTCCAACTTACGTTTTTCATAGAGCTGGAGCAGCTTTACTCTATGTGGGTGGAAGACAGAAAAACAAGGACTTTTGTTTTTTAGATGGAAGCAACAACCTTTTTGTGAGAGATTAACCTTTGTAGTCCAACAGCTCAGTGTAGAGGAAGAAATACCTTCATTAAGAAGTCACCGGATATATACAGAATATAAAACAATAACCCTAATTCAAGTGTGTTATAATGAGTTCCTGTGTTGAATAATGCATGAAAACACAACTCTGCATCAGCACGTTGTCCTTCTCTCCTTCCCTCGCCGCTGAGGCTGCTCACAATGAATCTGAGCGCCGTTATTATTCTACTGCTTTTAGAACGTAGTGGTACTTCATAACTAAAATCTAACGGTAAGAAATGTAAATGTTATTATTACTGGGAGAGGGGTCTGGAGATTAACTTATAGTTTTAGAAAGAGTGACCAAGTGAGGAATTAGTTCCTCTGCCTAATTCAAACTTCTGTTTACAGGATACAAACTTATTCTTGACCACTTAGGCTGTTTGCTTGCAGTGGCTCATCGGTGCAATTACTTACCACCAAAACAAGAAAAAAAAAAAATTACAAATTTATATCTACATACTCTGAGTGAGACCTGCTGCAGTGGAAAAGATTAATTTGCTAACTTGGGTTGGCGGTAAGTTAATGTGTTGTAGTAACAGTGACTCTCAGGGGCCAGCGATGCAGCCCCTCCTGATGCAAAAAGGAAAATTAATTAAACACAATAATCTTGTACTGCTGCCAGACAGTAGCTCAGTGTCCCTGTGTGTCTCCTTGATGCATGTCAGGTGGCGAGGCAGTTGCTCAAGGGGACAGTCGCTTGGTTGAATCGGGCAGGTGTCACGAAGGATGCGGAGGGGAACAGAAAGGGACGTCTGGCTGAAAGATTTCTCTGCACCTCGGCTGAGGCAGAAGTTGATCACGCCCTGACAGACATCACTATCTAGGACAGACGACTTCTCCACACCTCTTTCCCCTCTCTCTATCTGCGGATTCACTCCCTCTTTCAAGCCCCTGGACCATGCCAAGGCAGTTTGACTAAGAACATTAGGGTGTCACAGCTTGGGATTTGGCTTTTGCAATTCTATTAGAGAGATGCCTCTAAAGGCAGGCGCCTTCCTTTCCCCCATACCTCTCCTCCTGGCGTCGCCGCTGCCAGCCAACAGATGCAGGTTTTTACATATCAAAGCTGTTGACTTGCCAGAGTCGTTCCTTCACGCCTCTAATGCTCTTTGCTTCAGAGGACTGTACCTCGGCGCCTTGATCAAGTTACTAAACGCGGCTTTGCACATGGCTCACCACCAAAGGCGGGCGTCTCATGCTGGGACCTGGAAATGCAGCTGAGAAAAGCATCTCAGAGGGATTGGCTTGTGCTTACACACCATAAGACAGGCCAAGAGAAAGTAGGGAAGGGGTGGGGGGCAGGGGGGGATACTCGCACAGCCCAGAACACAAGAAGGGCAAACTATTGTGCTAATAAAAAAAATAAATAAAAAAAATCACAATCTGAGCAAGATGAACAAAGGTGTTTGGTAAATGTAGACAATGGCACTTGTGGATGTGAAAGCAATAGAAGAGCTCAAGTGCTTTTTAAAAATTGAGCTTTGATGCCAGCTAATAGTCAGAAACAAGAGAGTAGCTCTGCAACATGGCAGAATGATTGATTTGTCACAAGCAAGGCCAGGATAAGTCTCTTCGTTTCATGTTTTGCTTTGAAGACGGAGAGCAGATGAAAGTGTTGCACGGCATCAAAAACTACAGAACAAGAAGGCTGCTTTATTAAAATAATACCAGATAATAAGAAATAATTGGAGCCTCAGAATGAATTTAGTTAAAAAGCAGAGGGGGATTTTTTTTTTCTTACAGTGTGTTCTGTAAAATCTGTGTTCATCAAACAATAATGATGCAACTACATACCAATTTAAATCTCAACAAGAAAAGGAATAGATTAAACACGTGAATTTTTCTTTTCATTCAGCTGAAGCTTTGGGAGACTTTGCCGTCTCCCTGACAGCGTCGGTACGCGCAGAAGCTAAAAATACAGGAAGAGGGCCGCAGCAAGTCTGATCTGGTTTATTCTCACCGGACATTAAGGAGAAGCCGTTAACTTCCTTGTTGTTATAAGTTGTTATAAGTTACGAGACCTCCATGAAAAAATTTTTTTTTTTTTTTTTTTTTTTTTTTTTTTAAAGTAGTCTCAAGAGGTTGTTCTCAACTTCCCCCTGCGTTATTTGTAGGGAAAATGTTTTTGCTTAAAACGGTTTTCACTTTTAGTGCTCACACTAATGTTTACTGGCTGGTTAAAGTCAGGCAGATTTACTCTCTTAACTGAATGTCCAATAGGGATCATCTGTTAAGACAAAGGCCAAAAAACACGCTGCGTCAGCAAACGTTTTGTAATGACAAAACTGCTGCAATGCTTGATTATTACATCCATCTGTTCAATATATCCATCCATCCAGATTAAGATGCATTGCAGTTTTTTGTAGGAAAAATGAAAAAAAAAAGGGCAAAAAAAAAAATAAAAAATCCGGTGGAATTAATGATTTTAGCTAGAAAGTTTCTGGACATATCGTTTGTTTCCTGATGTTTCCTGGCTGCATATGAGCTGAAAAAAAAAAAAAAGATTATCCAGAGAACTGTTCATGTTCATGCTTCTGATGTGTCAAGCAGGTGATATATTATCAATTTTTCTTTTTGTAAGACGAGACAACTGATACCATGTTATTAATATGTGTATTTTTTTTGCATTTGTTTAAAAACAATAGCCCTGTATAGTGACTATAATCATAGTCAGTATAAAAATACAACAAAAACATGTCCATAAAATGTCATCCACTGAAACAAGGAGGGGAGAATTACGTACTAATCCTTTATTGCAAAAATGGAAGCTGGTTTTTGATTCTCTTGGTAATTTTCAATCAAAATATTTGCAATGGCAGCGTGAAGTTAATCTTGAATCAAAACACACGATGACAAGGCACAAATCTTCACTATTCATATGTAAAATCTTTTTGGACATTTTTTGCTAAGTGGAAAAATTAGCAATTAAAAAAGAGCATATTACTCACAGTCATTTATGGATTCTTGCTCTTACAAGGGTGTTTTTTTTTTAAAATCAAACTACAAAAGTCAGCCTCAGGATAATTTAGATATTTTAGTGTTTTTTTTTTTTTTGTAACTAAACTGTCTGGAAGTTGCTCAAATTTAAACCAATAAAGTTATCTCCCAGCATTAATATGCTGCTCCCAAAGATTCAAGAGTTTTACTGTTCTTTTTAAGTGTTGACTTAAGTTTCTTCAGCAAGTTCACATTTTAGCCATGACTGAGTAACACAGCTTAAATAAATCAACTCTCTTTTGGTTTTTCCTGTTTTTCTGCCTGACTGGCAAAACACCATTTTTGAGTTTAGGATCACACAGACTTTTCTCCAGGTGATCTTGCCAGGCTAAATGACTAGCTCCATGTTTAGTTGATGTGTTTAATATAAAACTTAAATAATGTTAGACTGGTTTGCTTTAGGTGGAGAAAATAAATGTGCAAATCAAAACAGAAGAAAGTATGGATTAACTTCTGCAAGTAGGCCATGAGGAAAACGATGCGAGCTTGGAGACTAAGTCTTTCCAGTTGCTATAATCACTTGCCAGAGAAGAGTAAGAACCGTACATGGCTCACATTCATTTTTTTCCTAGCCATCTTTTGGTCTTTCTTCACCAGAGAAAAACTTCCCTATTGCTGTCAGAGAACGACAGCACTTTGAATCCCTGCTGCTCACTCAAAATGTTCCTTTCAAATGACCACAAATGAAGACAAAATGAATACCAGTGGGAATAAATTAGCTGCTTGGTAATTAGCCCTCAAGCCATTCTTGAATGTCACCAATCAAAGTAGGGGGAAGGAGTTTCTCAATGAGCAGCGGGTCGGCGGTCGGAGGGAGGCCCGGAGTCAGAGCATGAACTCCTCGGGTCTTCTCAGACATGATCACACACACTAAGAAACTATAGACGGCTAACAAGTGAGGACATGGATATCTGCAGCTTTGTGCCTCTGTTAATATTAGTTCTGCTCTTTTCAGTGGATGAATTCCTCTCCGTAGAGCAAGAGCTGGAGTTTCCTAAGAACGACCGGACAAAGGTTGACAAGCGGGAACCGGGGGAATCATTTCATACCCTTCAGATGCATTTCGGATGGGCATGAATGGACAGACCACAGAGGACTAGAACCCAGAAGGATTAATTACACGGAACACAGCAAATACATCACAGTAACAAATGGTGGACCTTATGCAGAAGCAGACCCTCTCACACAGCTACAAGTGGCCGATCACAATACATTTACATCTAACTTTAGATTCGTGCACGACAGCCACAACCTGTTTACTCACACTGGACGATCAGCTCCACCACGGCCTCCCGGGGCTTCACGTTGAAGCCGTTGTACTGACTGGTCTGGCAGCGGTACGACCCCGTCATCTCCCGGGAGACGTTCACGATCCGCAGGACGCCGTCATAGCTCTCCATCTGCATGCTGCCGTCGGGCATGGGCGCCTCCTTGTCTGCTCGGGACCACAGGATGATGGGCTTGGGCTTCCCTGAAACAAGGCACTCCAGCTCCACTGTGTCACCCTCACGGGCCACCAGGGGGGACTTGCCCCGGGGGACTGTCAGGCTGGGAGGAACTAAGAAAGAGAAAAACAGAGGAGGGACTGATATGGGGCTCTAGAAAGTCAGCAGACGGGGTGAAAGGCAATGGTTGACTTGGACGGGAAAAGGCAGCGAAAAGATATGGGAGGAGGGGGGGAGCGAGTTGGAATGATGCAGTCTCAGCGAGACACATAGCATGAACGGATGAACTGTGAGATATTAGCAACAGTAATGGCAGACAGAAGGAAGCAGACAGTCACAGCATGAAGGAGATGTAAGAACACCGTCAACAGCAGCAATGAGTATCAATGTAATCAGGCAATGGCCAACGATGAGCGATGCAATGACAAGCCGATAAGCAATAACCCCAGCCTCAACAAAACAAGTTCAGGTGTTGCACTTCTGCAGAAATTTGCTGTAAACTACAAACTAAAAGTCCCAGGTGGACATTCCTTCTTACACCGGCATTATATGTGAACCATGAGGATTAGACAAATTAGTCCAGCGGAGAATTCACCCAAGAGACAGCGCTCACAAACAAGGAATCGATGCAACCATTGTGCTGTACACCAAAGCTCATTTCCCTTGTTGATGTTCAAGGGAATTCAGTAACAAGATGCGAAATGAACACATAAACCAAAAAAAAAAAAAAAAAAGCCAACTGCAGCCTGGTGAGAAACATTTGCTGCATGTTGTGCCAGTTCTCATTCAGCAACGTGGCTGAGCTGCCACAAAATGCTACTATCAGTAGGTCAAGTAAGGAATGCAGCACAAGATTCCTGGTGCAAAAACAGAAACATATGCCAAAGTGCACATGCCATCGATAAATAAAAAAAATGGCTTTACAAGCAAGCTTTTATTTATTTATTTTTTTTTTTACCATTAACCATAATATATTAGCAATTAACAAATTTCAGTGGGTTGAGGATTTTTATTTTTTTTGTTTTAATCCTTGCTTTTCAGTTTTGTTTTTTGTTTTTTATCCATACACAGAAGCCCTTGTCTCTTCAAAATAGTAAAAACAAAGATAACATACCATTCAAGTGAGGAAAATAAATCATCAAGAAACTGGAGTCAGAAAATTGTCACAGAGAAAAAAACATTTGGCCTGAAAAATTTATAAGAAAAATTTAAAGCTGGAAAAACAAAACGAGACAAAACGAAAAATACGACTGAATGAAAACGCTCAACTTACTACAAAACGCAGATGGGTTGGAGGTTAATTAAAAATGTCCAAAACTCACTGAAGCAAACTTTTCATTATAAAATTATGTTACTTAGAGAAAAAAAAGTGTTTTCAAGGCTTCTTGCACATCTTTACGAGAGGTGCCAACAATGTGAAAGTCGCTTTGTTTACACAAGCCACAGTCCTTACAATAATATCCAACACGGCAGCTGCACATTGATTACACTCAGTTTAAAGGATGACAGTACTTCCGGCATTTGCAATACATTATTTAAAAGTCTATTCTTTCTGTCGTGAAAAATCAAAGATCAAATCCCCGAAGAAGTTTGGATAAAAAGATGTTTCTGCCCAGCAGTTACCCATAAACATGTAACGCACCATCAGCGGCAGGAGCAGAACTGTCATTACAATCAACAGAGGAACCGTCTTCTTGCTCTCGTCGGCCTGTTTTCTCCGTAATATTCGCCTCGACGTCAAACTTACATCGACGACTTACACTTCAAGGCTGTTTGTGCAATTTTCATCATTCACACCAGCATCATTACCGTCTCTTGTCTGAACTTTTTACTCACTCTTGTACTTTTCACCCAACCACCTTACAATAAATACACAAATAAAAATCTTTTAAGTACAATATTAGAGTTTACAAGCAAGTGCTGATAACTGTGATTAGAGGAATATAAAAAAAAAGAGAAGTAGAGCTGAAAGGAGAAAGTAGTTAAGGTTTTAAGTAATGGACATTTGTTTTTGTTTTTTTGTAAGGGTATTTATGTGTCTCAGTTTAAAAAGCAGCAACTCCAGCAGGTTGAATCAGGCCGTCTGGTTTCTCATCAAGCTTGCTGGCCAAGTAAATTTGTTTAATTAGTAAACCTGGCAAACAGCGCCGGCTCCTAGAGTGCTGTGCAACATGCATTTGTGTGTTTATGTGTTTTTGTGTGAGTCCAAGCTATCGGTAGACTCCAAGACTATTTTGTAGCGCTGCTCCCCAAAAACAGTTTACAGCCAGCTTTTCACGGGCCGATAATCTCCTCAGCAATGATGAAACCCTGTTGTGCTTCCCTGATGATTTTTGAATCACTGTCATTCTGTCCAAACAATGCTGCAGCTGGAGAAGAATCAAGCCAAGTTGGGGGGTTTTTTTTGTTTTGTTTGTTTTTTGCCTTTTTTTTTTTTTTACTGTGATGAAATCACATGCAATTGGAGAAAAAGAAAGAATCAAGAAATACTTATAAAAAAATATTTTGTGGCCATTTTCTGTTTCATTGAAGGTAAAATCCTGCAGCCATTTCAGAGCTTCAATTGTCCCCCTCCCTCCCCAATGAGCACATCTTTATCACAGTGTTATGATTGTGCTTAAACACCCACTCATCAAAGAAGGAAATCACATGTGCAGAGAACAGAATAATAAGGATGTAGAAGCATCTCCATGGGCTGTGAATTGCAGCAAGAAATGCTTAAATCTTAAAGCTGAATTTAGGCCAAAATTACTGTAATCTGTTTCATGGCAACAGTTTTCACACGTCAATGTGAATCTTTCTGCAAGGACAAACTGGCAGCGTTTTTCTTTCTTTCTTTTTTTTTTTTTAATCAATTTAAAAAGACATGAGAACAAAAGAGTAATCAGTTACACTAGAGGCCAAAAGTTTGGACACAAGAACACATTTGTACAAAACATTGGCATATTTCCCAGCAAATTAAATATGATGAATCCATAAAGAATCACTCAACAAATTATATTTTGCTTTAATTATGGCTTAAACTCCATGATTATGTGCACTCTATTATTTTTTTCCCCTTTAGACTGAAATTGTGACTCTTCCAAATTTTCTCAACCATAAAACTAAGTCCTTTTTTTTTAAATCAACATTTACTCAGAAATATGTAGGTAAAAACAGCAAAAAAGGTGCTTAGAGATGAGAGCAAAGTCAGTTAATTCACCCCAACATTCAAAGATCTCACAACGGTTTTTAGCGAAAGCACAATGTGAAGTTTTAATCTTTCCATTTTCGGCTCGACTGGCCAGTTGGAAACATGAAAATCAGATCTCAGTTACGATCAGCGAACAGATGATATCTGAGGGCTGACACCAATCATCTTCAATGTGGAAGTTGCTAAAGAGGAAAGGACATTCAGAGCTAGCAGGTTCCAGCTTAAATTATGGAAGTGAGGAAGCAAAAAAAAGAAAAAGAAAAAGGCGTACGGAGCAAATTTAAAATGCAACTATATTTTCTATGGAGGCATGTTGGCTCTTTATGCAGGCGCTTACTTTTAAATGGAGGGAGTAAGCCTTCGGCCTATTTAAATCCTTAAACCTCAGTTTGTTGTGGAAACTTGCTGAAAACATCGTCAGCCTTCATTTTATTGTTGACTTAAAGGATCTCCATTCATTTACTCCAGGGAACACACAAAGAGAGACTGCTCTTTACGGGAGCTAAACATGCTAATTGCTAATATAAGACGCTAAGCGAACCTTGAAATATCAGCTCTATTCACATTAATTTTTATTTTTTTACTTTAACATTTACAATTGTGTGACACAGTGGCTGCTCAAGCAAGAAAACACAAAACAACTGGAAATTGTAAATTAGCTACAAAATTCTGATCTGAGGTGCACAGATCAAATTAATTTAAAAAATTAATTAAATTAAAAATTAAATTCAAACTTAATTTTTAAATTATATTTAAAAATGAAATGTTTAATTTATCAATGAAAATCATGTTAAATACTTCATAAATAATTAGAATGCATTTAGCATACATACTGCAATTATAATGATATTTACATTTTTCATTAGGACTTAATGCTCAATTTTAAATAAATTAGTAATTATGAGAAATCTGACAAACTGGAGGAGACATGGCTAACACAGTATCTTGTAGGATATGTATGAATGTGTAATCTAATTAAGGCCAACCTGATATTCAAAACATGCAGAACATTGGCTCAAGTTGTGGGTCGCAGGACAAGAAAACTGATCAAATGCTGAAAAAAAGAGAAGTATATTAAATATATTGCATTAAATGGTGGTAAGTAATCAAATTAAGTTAATTTCCAGGTTAATTTCTTACATTTATTAAGTTGTGAAGTTAAACAAATGTAGATAAAGTATGTTTGACAAAATCCATTCAACTATATTCATTCAACTACTTATTAGGTTGGAAATCTATTCTCTTTTCTCAGTGCATTAAAACACTTTAGTCATCGCCTCTGAATCTGCATCTACCATCCCTGCAGTCAAACTGATTGACTTCATCCACTTGTGAGTTCAGCATCAAAAGAAGAGCAAAAATTATCCTCACGGCAGTAACAACATGTTCGTTTCATATTGATACATTTCCTGATTTCTATTCACACACCGTCTCAGCGGAGGCGGCCAGGTGTTAAGTGCTGACGTGCTTTTCTCCATTTTAAATGTTCTCCATGTTTCCTCGGGTCCAAGCGGTAAAACAACAGCCAGCAGGGAGCAGCGGGTAACCGTCAGCATATGGAGGAGAGGTGCATTCGCTGAGCTGCCATCTTTACACCTGGCCTCTTCTGCCTGGATTAGACAAATAATTACTCCAGTCTGTCCACAGATTTTGGCAGCAGGAACGCTGGCTATCAGCTGCTGCCATTTCTCATCTCGCCGTCACATGAAAGCAAACAAACCCCCCGGCCCCCACCTGCTTATGCCCGTCTCATCTCAGCTCTGCATTTTTATCCTTCCTCCTGGTGACCACCCTGACTCTGCATGTGAGAATGACCGTTGAGATGTTGAGTGTGGCGGAGGGCCTGCTGCTGGTCTTTACTGTGCTCTCATTGTGCCAAAGCCCTCCAAATGCCAGTGATGCCTGCGGGGCACATTCGCT